TCCGGCCTCGGCGACGCCGCCGCCGCCGCCGCCGCTGAGGGCGACGAGCCGGTGCGGCCCCTGTGCAAACCGCGGGGCATCTGCTCCCGCGCCTACTTCCTGGTGCTCATGGTGTTCGTGCACCTGTACCTGGGCAACGTGCTGGCGCTCTTGCTGTTCGTGCACTACAGTAACGGCGACGAGACCACCGACCCGGGACCCCAGCCTCGTGCCCGGGAAGACCCTCCCCCGGCCCCCGCTCTGAGCCCCCTCCCCCGGCTGGAGGGCATCAAGGTGAGGACGCCCCTTCCCCCCCCCAGCACCCCTATTGCTCTCCAAGGCCCAACCCGAGGGGAAGGTCGCTCACCCATGTCCCTCCCCCTGCCCCCCCCATCCCTACTCTTACCCCTCCACCCCTTCTGCACCTGACTGACTGGGGGGGGGGTGGTCATCCCCATGCGCGCGCATCTGCAGGCCAGCCAGATGTTGCTACCACCACCCCCAACCCCGCCCCAGTGCCACCTGGCACCCCAGCTCTACCCACCCGCTGTGTGCCTTTCCTTGTAGGTGGGGTACGAACGCAAAGTCCAGCTGGTCACAGACAAAGATCACTTCATCCGAACCCTCAGTCTGAAGCCGCTGCTGTTTGGTAAGTCTGTAGTACCGTCCTGAGACGGTGGGTGGGCGGGTGGGTGGGTGGCAGCAGTGCAGGGTGGTTCCTGTTTGGCAGCGTGCTTTCTGTTTTGAAAATGAACCCTCCCTGAGAGAATATATATATATATATATATATATATATATATATATATATATATACACACACACACACACACACAAAACTATAGATATCTATCTATCTGTCTGTCTATCTATCTATTTTTCTGTCTCTTGTGGGGCTTGAACTCAGCCCGGGCACTGTCCCTGAGCTTTTCTGCTCAAGGTTAGTGCTCAACCACTTTGAGCCACAACTCCACGTCCAGTTCTTTGGTGGTGGTTCCTAGAAGATGAGTCTTTCCTGCTGAAGCTGGCTTTCAACCCTAATCCTCAGATCTCAGCCTCCAGAGTAGCTGGGATTATAGGTGTGAGCCACCAGCACCCTGCTAAACTTGATTTCTTTTTTTAAATTGTCTTCGAACATTTTCTACCCTTACTAGTCCTGTTACCTAGAAGGAGGAGAGGGCTGGAGACTGATAAAACCAGCTGCTAACTGGTCTCAGGGCCTCTGGGGAAATCATACCTCCAAAGTAGATTTTGGGATCTGATGACAAGTGGGAGTGTGCCCTCAAGCCTACCCGAGCCGACCCTTTGCTCCCAGCATTCCACCATACCAGAGATTCTTTCTATTATCTAGGGCTGGCAGAATTTGTTCAGGGTGACCTCATTTAGAGCCATATCATAGTTTCTGTTTTCTGAGATTTTTATTACATAATAGGCTTCATGTGATTATTTCATTTGGGTGTAGGTGCATGTGTGCACACAGGCACGCACATGCGTGTACACCAATACTGGTGCTTGAACTCAGGGCCTGGGCACCGTCCCTGAGCTTTTTTACAATTTTTATTTTTTTCTTCAAGGCTGACACTCTACCACTTGAGCCATAGTTGTACTTCCAGCTTTTGGTGTTCATTGGAGATAAGAGACTCATGGACTTTTCTGCCTGGGCTGGCTTCAAAGTAGGATCTTATCTTAGCCGCCTAGGTAGCTAGGATGACAGGCATGAACCCCCAGCACCATGCTATTTCCATTCATTCCTAAAACACCCCTGTAATGTGGATGCAACTCACATTTTCTCTCGGGCCAATGGGTAAAGTGAGGCAGCTAGGGTTGCAGTGGTTAGTTTAGTGATGAAATGGATTAAAACCCAATCAGGGGACCAAGGCATGTGGCTTAGTGGTAGAGTGCTTGCCTAGCATGCATGAAGCCCTGGGTTCCATTCCTCAGTACCACATACACAGAAAAAGCCAGCAGTGGTGCTGTGGCTCAAGTGGTAGAGTGCCAGCCTTGAGCAAAAGAAGCTCAGGGACAGTGTCCAGGCCCTGAGT